CACAGAGGAAGAACCAGCAATTCTACAACGGCAACCACTTGAACTTCATACCCAAGGAGGATACCGAAGACGATAAAAGGGATTGAAAATGATTAGGAACATCAGTCGACAGACCGAACAGGAATGCGACCCTTGTGAGACGATGTGTCACGGAAATGATGCAACAACCCTGAAATGCCTTCTCTTGATGGCAATGATATCTTTCAGATGGGTATTTGATCTGCAATATCAGATCCTGTGATCTACTGGTCTCATGAGTGGGAAGCAACTCCCTTGTCTGCAAACGACCTTGACAGTGCAAAAGTAGCTGTATAGTGAACGCGTTCAGTGGTATGTGAAACTGCCAAAAGGCTAGGCTTGTCTCATTCTGTATCTTGTGTGGTTCGAGCTAACAGTAGTAGATCAGCTGGACAGGTCGTAGCACAAAGCCTGCATGTTGCTAGAGCCGTACTCGAGATTCCGCCATCGCCCAAATCTTCGGACCACGGGTGAGAAGACGAAGACGGAGACTGCTTTCGAAATGGGCTGCGGTAAAGACACGTCAGAGATATATTCTCTGTGCTCGTGATGCGAATCGTAGTCGAGCAGGAAGGATGATGAATTAAGGTTGGGCCGAAGTGTCAAGATTAAGCAACTACTACGTACGTAGTATGATGTTGTTTCTCTGTCTAGCTAAGCAAACGGGAAACGGGCGATATTGGTGTGGGATCTACAAAATTTCAGCCAACTGTAATTGTTTTATGAATGGGAGGGTATACCGGAATTGATGGTGGCCAGAGCCTCATTCGTAGGAGTCATGATCGTAAAGTCTTTTCATTCACTCCTCTGGGTCCATACTTGTCGCGATAGCGATCCAGTACTCCCCACGAGGGTATTACTTGTACTCAGTCATGTTGCACCTTGTGTCCCCTCTACATCCTGCTCCGCTTCTCTCGGAACCGCACATAGCATCCATGCTTGCTCAGCCTGTCTCGTGGCCATGCGAATGCGAACAATGATCGGCAAGATGTTTGTCTCTCTTTCCAGGGATACTTGCAGAAGCCTACATGTTAGGCAAGAGGCTCCTTCGTGGAGCTTGCCCTCATCGTTTATTGTCGATCCTCCAGCACCAGCAGCCTCTACAAACCAATGTGTCGTCACAGCATGACTTTCTAGGCTCATTCTTCCCACGCATCATCCTTTCAGACAGCTTTCGTACCACTCTTAGTCCTAAGATATCCTGGAACATCGACTTCTTCCACCTCATCTCATCTCCAAGATTCTTGACTGGACATCTTGCAGCGGCACGATCACTTCTAGCCCTGTCGGGGCCGCCTGAACCATTGGTGGGCACGTGAACTGCTTCGAAGATGTCGGCCGAGCCAAACCCAACGGCTGACTCCAAAGCACTTGATCTCGCCGGTGCGTCAAGAGGGAGACGGCAACAGCAACAATCCACTCGATGGAGGAGATTCCTCGTTTCCCGGAAGATCGCGGACGAGGGCAGTTCGGTCGATTCGGTTGGGAAATACAAGAAAACGCAACCTACGGACAAATGGAGTCTAGGAATTCTGAATGACAAGAAAACGAAGGAAGTCCCTGGTCAATATTCTTTACGGCCCATCGCGTTGGAGGGCCATTTCTAATCATTCCCCCTAGGCACTGTCATCCTGCTTGCCTCCAATCGCAACGAACCTCTTGGTCTTCGACCTCAACCAGAGAGGGTGTCTATCTCTTCCTTGTTATCTCCACTTCCAGCTCGGCCAAGGCAGGGTACCGTCTCTTCAAGTGGGGCAGAAAAGAAGAAAACAGCCGACGGACAAATACTGCTCGATCCACAACCCGATGACTCTCTCAACGACCCCTTAAACTGGCCCACATGGAGGCGAAATAGTGCATTGCTTTCTTTAGGTTTCTATTGCATGCTGGGCGGTGGTATGACGCCGATATTGGCCGCCGGCTTCAACGATGTCGCTGATACATACAATGTTACCTCACAACGTGTAGCTCTGACAACAGGCCTTTACATGATGGGTCTTGGTGTCGGGTCCGTGGTTGCGTCGCCAACTGCTATTCTGTTTGGAAAGCGACCTGTCTACCTGTTCTCGGCCATTCTGTTTATACTGAGTGCCGTTTGGTGTGCCGTGGCCCCCAGCTTCACGCATCTCATTATTGCAAGAATCCTCCAGGGTGTAGCGCTCAGTCCTGTCGAGTGCCTGCCTTCAGCAACCATTGCCGAGATATTCTTCCTTCATGAGAGAGCTTTCCGAGTCGGCATCTACACCTTGCTCCTTCTGGGCGGTAAGAACCTGGTTCCCCTCGTCAGCGCCGTGATCATACAGAGTCTGGAGTGGAGGTGGGTGTTTTGGTAAGTTCGGTGCTTGATGGCTCCAACTCTGATCTGATATTGCCAGGATGGTTGCCATCATCGGTGGATTTTGCTTGGTCCTTTTGTTCCTCTTTGTTCCAGAGACTTTCTGGGACCGTACTCCAAGACCAAAGAGTCGGAGACCGACACTAGGGCAACGCAGTATTTCGAACCTCTTGCGCCCCTTTGCCTCCTCAAAGACGAAAGAGGAATCGAGACGGCCGTCGTTTAACCCAGAGGAAGATATCAGAACGCTACGACAGAAGAAACTACATGGTTCTGAGGCCCATGCCCACTGCACAGATGTGAGCCTTGATGGATCACACGATCGTAAGATGCGTCTGGATCTTCCATCTAACGGTCCTGCGCACTCTGAGGCTGCCCGGGTCGCGCCTAGTGGTAATGCACCCCCAACTCCTCTCCTACATACATTAAACTCACCCTTCTATCTATCATTAGAGGAAAACAAGGACTACCTTGACCACCATAGCAATCCTCTGGCTACAGGCAAAGCAGATAAGGATGCTTCTCAAAGTGAAATACTAGGCACAGGCATGCGCTCTCTAAACGAGAAAGCAGATCTCGAAGCTACTCTTCCGACCGCAGGAGCTACCGTTCTATCGCCCCAATCACCCATGCACTACACCACGTATCTACAAACACGGCCACCAAAGACTTTCGTCCAGTCTCTCACACCATGGAATGGTCGTCTATCCACATCCAAATGGTTTCTCGTCCTGGTCCGACCTTTCGTTCTCTTTGCGTACCCGTCCATTCTCTGGTCTACCGTCGTCTATTCACTCTCCATCGGCTGGCTCATCGTCCTTTCCGAGTCAGTTGCCGAGATTTACCGCAACAAAGAAACGTACAATTTTTCCGCTTTGGGAACCGGTCTTATCTATCTTTCTCCATTCATCGGTGGTGTGCTCGGGACCGCAGTTGCAGGCAAAGTCTCCGACATAATTGTACGATCCATGAGCAAGCGCAACGGAGGGGTATACGAACCAGAGTTCCGTCTCGTTATGGCCGCACCAATTGCCATTACGACAACAATCGGCTTGATGGGTTTCGGCTGGTCGGCCGAGGAAAGGGACAAATGGATCGTACCCACCGTCTTCTTTGGCATCATTTCTTTTGGTTGCTCCCTCGGTTCCACAACTGCCATTACTTTTTGCGTGGACTCGTATCGACAGTATGCTAGTGAGGCCCTCGTGACATTGAATTTCAGTAAGAACATTTTTCATGGCTTGGTGTTCAGTCTGTTCTTCCCGCATTGGTTGCATAGCGATGGGCCAAAGGAGGTTTTCTTGATCATTGGCGGCATACAGATTGCGTGTTTGTTGACCACAATCCCGATGTATGTATATGGCAAGAGAGCAAGGATGTGGACTGTAAGGAACAAATGGATGGAAAGGTTCTGATAGGATTGGAAAGTAGGTTCCAAGTTGGGCTTCGTTGTACTGATTGCATTGGGTGCATGACTTATGATTACCATTGCTTGCTGCATGACGCATTTGGACAAGGTGTTGCATGACGAAATTGGGGCCTAGTCGCAGCTGGTGCCACTGCGTTGATTGGAGATAGAACGCTCAAGGCGTCAGAAGTCGTAACCTCTGCGACAGTGGTGGGTTATCATTCTTAGTTGTACAGATTGAAACAACCATTCATACACCTTTTCTTCCCCACGAATCCAAATCGAAGATGATGGATGTAGGTTTGGAATGTAGCACAATAGCTTCAGCATGGTCAAAGGAGAATATTTCAAGAGAGAGTTTGGTTTAAAGGACTCGTAGACTCAACCATGAGCCCCAGAGAGGGCGTCTGTGCTAACATAAAGGCATGATGCTAGCGATTTCTCACTTGGCGAGCTACAATAGATTATATGGTTACTGAAAGGCCCCCAAACTCGACGGAGGCGGAAACAGGCTGTGCTCGGGTGAGGGAGTCACTGCAGCTGTTGAAATGGGGAGGGAATGACACGTCATGGTATAAGAACCTGTCAAACAGATAGAAGAAATGGCTCTGTTCTCTTTCAAAAAAGGCGTAGGGCGCGTAGAAACAAGTATAGATTGCAGCGAAATTAGCAGCGAAACTGCGGCAGAAATTGACCAATCAACAGCAGGCAAAACGCAGGTGTAACCGGTGGAAATAGGGTGTGACAGAACCAAACTGACTTATATTACGGAATACTTTCTTTAGTAACTAGAAATTAGCTTTCCTTCTGATCTCAATTTCTGCAAAAATGCACAAATGCGTAGAGCGCTATGTTTCTTTCTTAGTGCCTCGAATTCCGGCGAACGGAAGATCAATGTTTATAATAAAGCTTGATATCCACTGTCAATTGTACTAGCTATGGGATATGTATGGCTTGTCAGCATATGTCAGCTCTATATAATGAAGAACGGTAGAAAGAAATTGAAATACTTCTTCACTAGTTGGGGTAAGAGTTGGTTGTTGCTGAAGTGTACTACTAGTATGGCAGGAGGCATAAGTATTGTTAGCGTAGATTAGTACTAGCTAGTTAGTTTTCGGTACAAGGCCCCAGCGTCCCCTAAGGCGCCAGTAGATCTTTAACCCCTCAGTGATGATAATGATTAGCACTGGCCTAGGAGTCAAACAGACTAATACTCCTTTAGTAAGATGTGTCTTCGTTAATCCTGTGTCACTTACCAAGTTTCTAGCTCGGAGCCAACAATATTTATGCCTCCTACCATAGTACGCCACTCTTGAAGTCATTTCCACTATAGGGCCTAGTGATGAGTGGTCGAAGGTACTGGGCCAGTCTGGATCAGAGTCTTGGATTAGATCTTTGAAATGGAACGATGCTTAATCTGGTGATTGATGAGACTTGTAATGCATTTTCTTCTACATTAATAACACGACCCGATGGCGATCCAACTCATTTTCTGAAGAATGAATTCTGCAAGGAGAATTCTAATTTAGTCACAACGTCGAGGCAGCAGCGGCATCAAGACATCGCGCTCGCGCTTAGATATTAAAGTAAATAAATAAGTGGCTCTTCTTGGCAGCCGACTATTTGTACTAGTAGTTCATTGTAACATCATCTCGGAGCGGCTGCTTCTGCATTGCCTGAAAGGAGGAAACCTATGCTTTCAATTCTTGTCTAATGACTATCTGGTCAAGTTACCGCGAAATGGTACCAGATGGGTGCCTTTTTTACTGCGTCTGAATTATGCTGCCGGCTTCAGCTCTTCACGCCATCACGTTCATTCACAGTGCAATTCCCCGTTTGCGTGGGTGTGGCAACCCTGAAATCATGTGAGCAAATTTGCCAAATAGAGAGGAATCTTGCGATGACTTACTGGTGGAATACTCAATGTAGAAGACGCATATTGCTGAACCGGCGTGGCTGGTGCAGAAGTCATAGAGCTCATTGCAGAAGACGCTGTGCTTGACATCGGAGCTGCTGAAGTTGAACTTGCGGATGCTGAGCTTGACATTGCAGGCGCCACGCTAGAAGTCCCAGAGCTGGCGGATGACGCTGGCCCTGGGCATCCAGTGCCAGGAACGACAATGTCGTGCGCATAAGCTTCCAGAGCAAAGTATTGCAGCGTATCGCTGTCGTGGACCGAATACGAGTTGTTGTGCTGGGCCATCTCGATGACCTCCTGATAGTCTTCTGTGTAGTGATCAACGTACCATTCACTGATGGCTGGCATGTGGTACACTCGGTGGAGAAGGTCGGATGCGAAATAGGTGTTGGTTGGCCACTCTGCTACATTGTATCCGAGTGCACAGACCTGAGACAGTGGCCTTCGGGTTGCATAAGATCGCGGACAAATGACAGTTTCATCGGTACCATTCTCGCCTCGCCAGTGACCACCGTACGCTACCGGATGCGTGAGCAAACAATCAACAGAGGGCAACCTGAGTTGCACTTCAATGCAGACTTACTAGGGATCTGGCAATTGCCATCAGGGTCATCGCAACGGAACAGAGTGCGCGCCTTGTCACCATTTACCACTCGCTCAAAGTTCCCAATGACGGGGGCAGATGGCGCATCACCGAAATACTTTCGGTATATTTCCGACGAATTACCCCATCGAAGAACATGTGCTGCAGCATGCTCCGCAAGCGCCTCCAACTCCGCAAGAGCTTTTCGGAGCTGAGTTGTTTCTGTGTGGTTACAGGATGCATGGATCGGGTACTGGTTCACCGCGCCTTGGTCCCAGTTGCTGTCGACCTCATACCTTGAGTGAGCATGTAGATGAGGTGTCGAGGAATGGGCAGGGAGAGCGAAGCTTCCGCAGGCAAGAAGAGCAAAAAAGATGGTGGTAGCGAACAACATGTTGGTTCTGGGACTTTGGCAAACCTCACGCTGAATGGAAGTTTGTTGTGAATGAAAGAAAGTGACAAGTGAAGCTCGGGGTCAGGTGGACTATATACCTGAGCTGCTTCGCTGCAGTAACACTACCTCAATACGGTTCTGCTTGGCACAGTGTGATGTCTATCTGAACTTCGACTTGAAGTGGAGATTGACTCAAGTCGGCCTGACCTTCCCAACGATCTCAAGTCTACTAGATCATCACCATCCTACGACCAGATTGCAGACACGGGAAGGTCAGGGGGTTACGAGCTATCGACAAGTCTCCGACCAGTCGAAAATTCACATTCACAGCATCGTCGAAAAAACGAGTGTCACAGTACTACTGGACCCAAGCAAGGCTGGAATGCATTAGGAAAGGGCAATCTCTGCCATATGCAGAAGCGCGGCTTCTCGATGTCATGACTACAATTTTTCCATGATGCTCTGTCACTTTCCCTGTTGTGTGTATGATTTCTTATCTTGTTGAGGACCTTGAGATCGTTCGCAGAGCCTTGCGAACGTCAGTCTTGATCTTTCGGCCTCATGCACACTTATGGGAGCCTCTCATTCTCCTCGGTCCTTTTCATCTGAATGACGTTAGAATGGTAAGCAATGTCTCAGAATTGAGGACCTTTCGCAGCCTGTACAGGGATTCATCAGGACCAGGCGTGTGGGTTGTCAGGGAGGCCGTACTCGGCTATCCCACATGGATCGGCTCCTGGTGGTTGGTTAACGTTCTCCGCGGTCCCCCCTAAGCCCTTGAGGACCTTGAGGAGGGGCTAGAGGGTCGCCAAGGCTGGCACATCAAGATTAATGCAGTGGAGCGGAGGCTGATCCAAGATTCGACATGGGCTGGAGACTTGTGCAGGAACTAACTACGATTACTTCAGGAAAATCATGATGGTGATCTGGATGTTGCCACTTCTTTGGATTTTACCGCCATGCATGCCTCAACTCTGGCTCCCACGCCACGTTCCCGCCTTGCATACCACGGTATATGATTACTGAGTCATCTCGCCACGTCGACCCCCTGTCGTACGACCAGATGGCCCTACTAGCGGACCAGCTCGTTTCCTTGCAAGCCACCCATAGTACTATCCTGTTGGCCAGGCAGAGCTTCCTAGCCTTGCCCACCCCACTAGTACCTGAGCAACGTCAACTGAGTACCTCATCCAAAAACAGGTTAACAACTCTCCTAACACGGTACTGCTTACGTAGTACGCCAGAGGACTGAAAATTTGCTTCTGTTGCATCAGGTCATATGTCTTCCACTCACTCTAAAGCTACTCCACTAGTTTTCAACCATCCTACATATTTCTCACTCGTTATTGATTAATTCTATCATACATTCTTTCAAGATGAGGCTCGCTATACTTCGCGTTTTGGCCGTGTATCTATCGTCTGCTGCTTTGGTCGTTGCCCAGTCCCAGACCGAAGATCCGGGTCCTAGTCCAGCTGCCTCAATCGGTTGCGTACCGCATAATGATCACTGGTAGGTTTATCCTACCACACTGCTTTCTGTTTTCCAAGCAAGAAGCGGAGACTGCAATAACCGACAAGCTGACAGCGTCTAGGGATTGTGAAGGTCCTCGGGTCACAAGTTCAATGATAACGACGACATCAGCCATTCCCGCCGCGTCAGAATCCACCCACGATGAGAATGCGCCAGTGACTGGCTCAAACCTTGACCCTGGCCCGAGTCCAACTGCTTCGATCGGCTGCGTACCCCATGGCGATCATTGGGACTGCGAAGGCCCGGCGCCTGTTTCTGCTGCTTCTAGCAGTGGTAGTGACAGTGGTATCCTCGCTACCGCTACATCTACCGCTACAACCGCCGCCACCGCTAGCAGCAGCGTAAATGCCGCGGCTGCTGGGACATCCGGTTCTAGCACCAGCTCCGCTCCGGCCCAGTATACCGGTGTTGGTAGCGTCGTTAGCCTTGAACGTTACTTCGTCGCTGCGTTGGAAGCGGTTGTCATGGGCGTTGGAATCTTCTTTGCCGCCGCTTAAGCCAGCCTTTTAGCCATCATAGTCCAGTTTTGGATGCAAGGCTTCGTGTGGAAGAGATGATGGATTGATTGGGGGAAGGGGGAAAGGGGGGTGTGTCTAAGCCAGGAGGAATCTGTTTTCAATTCGATTCATAGCTCAAGTGAGATTAAGTAGTGAATTACACTTTTTAATATGTGAATATGTTTAAGATGCAAGATTGCCTTCGGAGTATATCAAACATCCCAAGAGGCCTCCTTGGTGTTATGCATATGACAGACACATTAAGAAACGGGAGCATTCAGCAATAGGCTCTATCCCTCACGAATCTGCCTCTATTTAGCTAAGAACCACATACAATTTACAAAAAAAACCTCTTTTATAACAAAAGTAATAAATTTACCCAACCCAAAATTCACAGGCAGGTTATTCATTGCGACCGGATCTTTCACACCACTTTCTGTCTCCTGTAGTCCAAGGCTGAGTGAACATTGTTGGATATATCTGCTACACAATGGAAGAACGGAAAACACGATTGTAGCAGCTATCTTTGTCTAAGGACTCGATGATGGCATTGGATTCTGCAGAAATACAAAATCCGTTTTTCGACAGGAACGTAGCATTAGTTACTGAAGGCTTAGGAAATTGGAGCCAGCATTGCCAATTCCTAGTCCCACAGACGCAGTTGGTCCTTTCCCCTTCAGGCCATCAAGAGATGCTGTCTCTGCTTCCGCTTCCGTCTCCATCTGCATCTCCGTCTCGATCTCTGTCTCTGTAGCCAACCCCTTAACCCCACCCCTCAAACTCCACGCTTCAACGCCGCGCGCCCTAAAGACACTGGTGGCAACTCTCGCTGTGTCTCCGTCATAGTCTATGAAGACCACTGTCTTACCCTCCAAGAGCTGCAGAGTCTCAGGCGTGCAGAGGCTTTCGAGCTCACGCCATTGGAGCTCGAGCGTATTAGAGTCTGAGAAAGGGGAGGGAGAGGTCTCCATGAGGGAAGAAAGGGGAAAGTTGGTGGCGCCAGGGGGGTGGCTTCTTGCATAAGATGAGGAAGTGCGGAGATCGAGAAGGGTGGTCCCGTTCTGAAGGGTACACGTCGTTTTGGCAAAAGGTGCGTCACCCAGCTCAGGCGAGCTTTCAGGTGTCATATAAATTGTGGAGCATGCTGAATTCTCCAATCGGGTTGTGGGGCAACCATTCATATGGTCTGTTCGAAGCTCGCTCGGGAGAAAATCGGGTAGGCCGCTTGTCGATCCGTATAGCTTCTCGGTAATCAACAACTCACTCAATTCCCAGGATTCGTCGTAGCGGTGTTTGTCAACACCAATCAGATTCTGTGTGATGTCAGCATGCATCCGACGTCTTTAGTCATTCGCTTTCGTTGGAAATAACCACAAACCTTGTTCAAGATAGGATGGAAGTCCTGATCATCCGTCTTTTCAAAATACTCGTCAATGTACTGATACGGCAAATCGCAGCAGAGAAATACGCAATGGATCTCGCCACTCGCGTTCCTTGCACGCAGGTCATGCATGGTTCCATTGTTCTTGCGATTTTGTAGATAATTGAGAAGACCCTGGAGATTGAAGCCGGAAGATGGACCACACACTATGCCTTGGCGTGACAAGAGCATTGACATCCTGTACGAGTCTCGAGAACCAACCTCTTCTACCACATCAACAGCATCGCGCCAGGGGAAGTGGACTGGAGCGAGTAGGGCGAAGGATCTTGGGCCAGGAACACGATCGCCAGGAGCCGTGCAGACGCTGTCCTGTGATCAGAAACTGGATTTTGATTCAAAGCTCAGTACTCACCCAACCCGAATAATGTTCGGCTTGTTTTGTTTCAGGAACGTGCCTGTCCCAGTCATTGTACCTGAAGTTGCATTCAGCAGCTGTGCAGTTTAATGGCAAGTTGACAGCTTTGATATATACCGGCTGTTCCCATCCCAGTGCAAAAGACATCAATCTCAGGCAGCTGATCGAGTATTTGAGGACCAGTCCATCTCTGGTGCGACTCGTAGTTCTGCAACCGAGTCAGGGCCCTCGCAATGCAGAAGCTTTAGAAACCAAAGTGGACACAGCCCGAGAGCCGGTTACGAACCTGCTTGTTCTCATACTGATTGGGATTGAAGACACGACCACTTGATCCCTCCATCTCCTTCGCCTTTTGGATCCCTCCTCGAGGATCTGATGGCTCGGGTTGGGATGGGCCACCAAATAGAGTTATCTTCAGTCCGAAGAACCGCATCAACCTGAGTTTTGCTTCACTTGTTTTGTTGCTCAGAAACGCTCTGGTATCTTCAATTCCATACAGGATCCTGGAGATGACCGACATGGAGATGATTGTCGATCCAGAGCTGTATTCGACAATTGTGTCTATGTTCGAAGCCTCTCTCGCTTTCTTCTGAAGCATGTTTAGTGCCGGCATTGCCTTGACATTGTGGGCTGGAAGAAATGTCATCATTTTGGCATATATATGGACACCGTCAGCGGCAAAGGGGTTAAGGGACACTGGTATCTCAACCAGAGGCAGTGGTGGCTGGCATGATGGATCGTAATAATTGATGAGGGACTTGGAGCCTTTGTACACGTTGAGCGGATTGGAAGAATTCATAGCTGCCTTCGTTTGTCAAGTCTCATACATCTCCCACAAAGCATGGTGAGGACGGGACTTATAGATCGTCTTGTGTATTGTGCTTCGATGGCTTGGTATTGACGTCAATCATCATTGACGTTTCGCTAGATCTACATGGCACAGAAGCCATAGCATGCAGGGCCACAAGCCAATAACTTGCCCCTGAACATGACACAAGTATGATTGAGGACCTTGATGGACGAATACGACATGCTCCGCGGGATTCTGTTATTGGCGGTGGTTGCATGAATATTCGCGTGCACATTTGGGGTTGCACTGTTGTACCTACAACCTTGATGCGCACTCAGGAATATCCATCTGCGCCAGTGCCAATGACAGCACTCGAACGAGAAAATAAGATGGTTGATCCTCAGAGAGCCTCTGATGAGCCCGCTGCCAATATAGAGCAAATGCAACAAGCCTCCCACGAAGTTGAGGGAGAAGCTCAGCAACGAGGAGGTCCGTTCAATGAGCAAACCAAGTATATGCCTCCATTGCGTGTCATCACAGTACGTCCAATTCCATGGATGATCGCCATTCTGGGCGAAGTCCAAGATACGTAGTGCTAATGATCCACAAAGGTTTTTCTTGCATGCGCAAGCGTCGACCTGGTTGCCCTGATAGATCAAACAACTCTTGCCGTCAGCTTGCCAATGATTAGGTGAAATATGGGCAATCCTTTTTGCGCAATCCGTTTAAAGGACTCAGTGGATTCTGACAGTTTCTAGCGCGAATCTTCAAGCAGGAAGCCTTACGTCGTGGATAGCAAATGGTTATTTCGTGTGGGTCCGATGCTGGATCACAGAATGATCTGTCAGGACTGAAGTGGAGCAGGACATCTACCTCTTTCCAGCTCGTTTACGGCCGGCTCAGCGACATATGGTCGAGGAAGCTAATTCTTCTTGTTGGACTTCTCATCTTCTTCCTTGGCTCTCTGGCTAGCTCCCTGTCCCAGACTCCACTCCAGCTTGTTGTCTTCCGTGCCATTACGGGAATCGGAGGCGGTGGTCTGATGACTATTGCGCAAGTCATTGTGAGCGATGTTGTAACACTGCGAGAGCGAGGAAAGTACCAGGGCATCTTGGTAAGCCTGAAAGGTTCTTCGAGAGCATTGAAACCAGGCTGACCATATGCATCTTGAACAGGGTGCGGTAGTTGCACTATCAAACGGAGTTGGCCCGGTTATTGGAGGTGTAATTGCGTCTCAAGGTGCAGAGAGCTGGTCCGTATCCAAATTATGTTGTGTTATTTCAACAGCTTATCAGAAGAGCTGAGCCAGGCGATGGATTTTCCGTCTCAGCTTATTCCTGACCGTGTTCACTACTGGCTGCGTGGTGTTCTTCATGCCTTTGAGGAAAGTCGAAGGGTCGTGGCAGAAGAAACTGAAAGCGGTTGATTTTCTCGGCGCTCTACTGACACTGCTGGCCTCCGCGCTCGTCGTTGTAAGTGTGATGGATCGCATAAAGTACCCTGCTAAGCCTGACCTAGTTGGGACTCTCCTGGGCGGGGGTCGAGTATGCTTGGAGTTCGGTGCAGGTACTGGCAACACTTTCCGTTGGAGCTTTTCTAGCTGTGTCTTTCATACTGTGGGAATGGAAAGGTCACCCTTACCCCCTTATGCCTCTCAATATATTCAAGGAACGTATGGTCAACGGCGCCTGCTTGACCATGTTTGTCAATGGGTGGAACTTTGTCGTGCAAATCTACTACATCCCTATCTTTTACCAGTTCGTGTACGGATACGGCCCAGTCAAGGCTGGAACGCTACTTCTGCCTCTTGTCTTGATGCAAAGTGAGTCTTGACCATCGAGGCGCGGATCCTTTGCTAACCACCATGGTGACATACAGCCTTGAGCAGCACTCTCTCCGGCCTTGTTGTCTCGTGGCTGGGGAGGTATAGAGAGGTTATCCTTGCGGGTTGGGCCGTGTGGGCCGTAGGTCTTGGACTATTTTCTACGCTTGATGAGCATTCGGGTTTGGGTAAGCAGGTCGGCTATGGGCTTCTTACGGGCCTGGGGGTTGGGCAGACACTGCAACCTAGCCTCGTTGCCATTCAAGCAGGAGTAAGCAGGAAAGAAAGGGCGGTTGTGACAGCCACACGAAAGTACGTAGGTAGTTTCCCATCCTGTGAGAGTGGAAATACTGACGCTTGCAAAGCTTTGTCAGAAATCTCGGTGCTTCATTTGGACTTGCTGCCGCTGGTACTGTACTGTGCGCTTCATCCTTTCCTGCTGTGATCATGTGAGCTCTTTCTGACACGTGACAGCAACAATTGTGTTCGTGCCAGTCTCATGAAGGCTGGCACCGGTCTCTCGACAGCCGAAATCGCCGTCATGATTTACTCGCCATCCCATTTGATCTCGGGCCAAGAGACTGGAAGCGCAACCAGTGAACTATTCTTGAGAGGCTATCTCCGTGGATTTAGATTTGTCTTCTTGATTGGCGCTGGCTTGGCTGTTCTAGCTTTCTGTGTAGCATTTTTCCTCATGCCTGAGTTAGGCCTGAAGAGAGATGATGATCAGCGTTTAAAGAGGGAGGGTAAGAACAAAACACTTCGCAAGCCCGAAGGCTAGTATGTAAGGGCCACACTAAGGATGGAAAGGATTTTGCTATACGCCGCGGGGGAGGCAAGGCTGCAGCAATGTGCTTGTAGTCCAGCGATATTGAGTGTTCAGGCTCTATGACGGCTGAAAGTGGAGAAGAACTTGATCAACACCTTGCTCTCGGCAGATGACTTGAGAAGTGCCCGTGATTCACGAAGCTGTTTGCCTTCTAGTGCTGTGTTGGGATTGACTTGCTGGGCCCACATCCATGATAACAGAGATTGGCTCGGGTATATTATACGAGACGTCAATGGATGAAATAGTCAATGTGGTGCAGCCAAGGCCACAGGCCTCGATTATCTTTCTGTAAGTCAAATGAGGCTTGTCGCCACAAACTATCCATGCAGTGCGTAAGCGATGGTGTTGGAGGAGGAGGTCATAGCGGATCCAGGGGCTAAGTCATGAGGACCTTAAAATGAGGACCTTTAAGTGAACGACTCGGAGATCATCCAGCATCGCCAAGACTTGGCACTTGGTCTTGGAAGTTGTGTCTGATTCACCGTGGTGGTGAGGAGAATCCGCCTTGTGGCGTATAGACCTTGTCGCGAGCCTGGACGCTGATTTGTAAATTGTGGTTGTAAATGCAGTTGCGGTGGAACGTCAGGTAGATAGATGATCCGAGCGCTGGTAAGGAGATGACAGAGTCAATCAAGCTCATGCCCAGCGCCTGACATCAATTGAGTATCAGTACTGTGGTATCGTCAAAAGCTATACATCAGCCCGCATTTCTTCATAAGTTACTTGCTGTAATACTGATTGATCCACTATCGCATTGCTGGAATTTTCATCAAAATGCACATTATCTGCTTAGCCTTGTTGTGCTGTTTCCTGGCCTCTTGTGAAGCACAAACGTACACAGGCTGCCACAACCACGGGACTGTCGAGTCAGTCAAACATGTTCAGGTTGCGAGTGCAAAATGCTGACGGTCCACCTGAGGTACTGCTATGGCCCTGATGGAGAAGAAACGGCTGTCCGTACCTACCAAAGTCAGCAGGAGACAGCTTCGAGTACCTTGAGTAGCCCAGCTTTGGCGTCTGCCACCACAACGTCGGCCCCTCAAACCACAGCTGTAACAGACTGTCATCTCCATGACACAGCAATGTAAGTCTTGGTCCTTTCCGAAGGCGGGAGCAATCTCCTCATCGATAGCGCAGTGTCTGCGTCGCCGGAAACTCTGCAGAAGTGCTGGTATCAGCCCCAGGTACACCTACAGGAGAACCTCCGGCCCAGTATACCGGTTGCCATGGCCATGGCGACGAGAAGTAAGTCGGAAGTCTTTTCTACCACCAAATTTGCCCTGCTTTGCTAATTCAAAATGCATAGCTTCTGTCTCGGCCCAGATGGCGAGGAGGTCCAGATCCTCCCAGAAGGCACGGTGCTGCCACCCGAGAATCAAGAGAATGGCGAGAGCGGCCAAGGAGCCAGTGTGAGCCAGGGGACGAATTGCCATTTCCACGCTGGAGTCGAGTGAGCCTAGATTCAACTTTCCCTTCCGACACCAATGGCCTACTGACAGGGTTCCAGACACTGCGTCGGCCCCGGAGAGTCTGAAAGTGCCTCAAATACTTCGTGCGATCGTAACGTACACGAATACAACATCCCAATCCGAATTGGGACCTTATTCGTGATGCTGACCACCAGCATGATTGGAGTCTTCGCGCCAATATTGCTGGGCCGCTTTCTCAAAGGCAGGGTGAATAGCATAGGTTTCACAGTGGTAAAGCAATTCGGGACCGGCGTCATCGTTGCTACCGCTTTGATTCACGTAAGAACTCTGCGTTGTAACCCGAGTTGTTGTCCCATATCTGATCTTCGTTGTGCGCAGTTGCTCACTCATGCCGAACTCATGTTCAACAATGAATGTATTGGCACCATCACGTACGAGTCTACCGCAACAGCAGTAGCCATGGCCGGTGTCTTCCTCTCTTTCCTAGTCGAGTATATTGGTATGCGGATAGTCATGCATCGGTTACCGCCAAGTGCGAACGTCCAATCCGAAGAGAGAACGACAGCGGCTGATGCCGCCAGTCATGGAAAAGGTGATGGTCTCGGTTTGGCAGATCTAGGACATCACCACGGACTGTCCTTGGAGAATTCCAAATTGAGCGTTCTGGTGATGGAAGCAGGAATCATATTTCACTCTATACGTAAGTGACCCTGGTAGCATGCTGTTTCCCAACAAATCGATCAACGAGCAAGGCTAAGACCATGTTTAGTGATTGGGGTAACCCTCGTAGTGGCTGGCGACTCCTTCTATATAACTCTTTTCATCGTGGTTGTCTTTCACCAAGCCTTTGAAGGTCTCGCACTTGGGGCCCGAATTGCCGCTTTGCCAGACACGAGCACCCCATTCTTTCCCATGAAGCTCGTCATGGCCCTAGCTTTTGCACTCGTCACGCCGGTGGGCATGGCCATCGGCCTAGGAGTCTTGCAGAACTTCAATGGCAATGATGCTAACACCCTCGTCGCAATGGGCACCCTCGACGCTCTGTCGGCGGGCATCCTGCTTTGGGTGGGCATTGTGGATATGTGGGCGCGCGACTGGGTCTTACCTGGAGGAAGCTTGTCCAATTCAGGAATTGTGAAGACACTCACCGGCGCCGGCGCCTTGATATGCGGCATGGTATTGATGGGTGTCCTAGGTAAGTGGGCTTGAGAGGAAAAGCAAGCATCTTTCCCTAGAATCCTTCAGGAGGCTGTGGTGACTTGGGACGCTTTGATGTTAGTCGCTCTCAGTGTCAAACTATATGCTGCGTGATTATTTTGCGGTATGACTATATAGAATCCTCGTATGCACATGGTCATTTTTCTGATGGGATAATCCCTTGCAGCTTGAGCATCTGGAAGATCTATCACAAAATTATGCACTGTTTCGGCCAAAAGCTGACGACGGGCAGAGACCAGCAACAAATTTCTTGAGACAACTAGTACCTTGCAAGAAGCAGTCTAACACGACCTGGCTCTCACCTCCAAGTTGGATGCAGGACCTCAACCAAGATGGCTTAGTTTCTCCGAACTCGAATCCAATCATTTATCGTAGTACACAACTTAGTCAGCACGGTGGGAGGATCCCGGTCGTCTTAGATAATACTTCGATAAGTTGTTGGTGTTTTTGTCCACGCCATCAAGGAGACAATACAATCATCAGTGTCCAATCAGTGATAGATCCACATGAAGACCTCTCTATAGCACTAGATACAGGACTTATCCATCTCCTGCTCATCCAAGACAAAAGCTCGTGTAGCAGAAATGGTGCATAACTCTGTTGAACTGTTATCCATCAAACATTTAGTCCCAGTCTATCATCTACCTCAACATAATCCATCACTTCTCAGCGTCCACAGAGTCGGGAAGACAAGTCTTTCCAAGAGATTTATGCCTCTCAAAACCACCCTGCCTGACTGATAAACGTATTTGTTATGAAATTGCAATCGCCAGTCATATGTTCCTCTGTTCAAGATGCATAGTCAGGAGCCATATAATTCATTCATCAAACTTCCCTCTTGGTTTCGAACAGTGAAAGGCTGATACTAGCCTCCGCGCCGCCCTCGAGCATCTCCCAATTCCGAGACCTATAATCACCTACTCTCTTGCCATCCTTCACGATGTGCAGTCCGTCGGTGGTCCAACCTGCCTGAGAATTGCGCTGCAGAGAACCGATGCCCTTAGTGGCGTTGGCGCTGCCGAAAAGGTACTCAGCCCGCTGGTCCCGCATCTTGTCTTTCAAGATTCGTGCACAGAGCGCCCTCACTTCCTCAGAGGCGTCGTCCACGATCGCAGCTGCCACATCCAAGATGTGACCTGCCACACACGGTTCAGCGTCCAGTGAAGGGTGTAGCGCAATGTTGACCAGAAGAACAAGAATCTTCACCACATCCTGTTGACTTTGCTTTTGTGACGCGACTGGCAAGGAGAGGGGTTCGACACGAGAAGACACAAAGCCAGTTCGATGTATGGAGGTCATCCGAATTAGTAGCGTCAGGTAGGTGATCATATGGCCGAAACGTCTGGGTGCTGACTCCTCGCTGGATGCAACAGGTTGAGTGGTGACCGGGTTGATGTTGTCGCTGTTTGCTGCTGTCTTTTCCCCAGTTAGTCCACGTAGCACAACGGCAAACCTGTCGACCAGGATGGAAATGATTCCCTGAACTCCACCTGGAGGTATGCTGTATGCTGTTGAAGACACAATTCTCAGATACTTGCCGGCCTGGTCGATGTAAGCTGCTCGGGGCAGCGCCGTTGAGGGCGTTCGTCCAGAAAGAGGGATAATTGGCAGCGCAAAGAATGCTTCCTCAGCCTTCCCACGGAGTCTAGACGCAGCTTCGACGCCAATCGCTTTGGTGTAATATATCCACGAGCTGTCACTCTCGGATTTCGCAAGGTCAAAAAGAGTCTCGACCACGGCTTCTTGTCCTGATGCAAGAGAAGAAAGCGAAGAAGCAGCAGCCCACAACTGGAGTCGAAGGCGGCAGAAAGGCATTGATAGATCATTTGTATTCTTCGCAAGCTCGGAGAAATCAAACACTGAGACATCGCGTGGCAACCGAAGCAGACCATTAAGGACAGATTCGAGGGCACCATCAAAAACTGTTGCCGACAACGCGTCAATTTTCCCGTCGCTCAGCACAAGTCTAATCAGTAGATTGTCCCAAGGTTGTGCGCCCTTTAAATTATTGTCAAACCCAGCTCTAGCCCGCAATTCTAAGGCACGGTGTGGACTTGTGTTGATATGTCGAGCGTTTTCGAGCTTGAGCTTGTATGATACTGAGTCTAAGCCATTCTCCGCAGCGACGATCATTGCCAGAAAGCCTATGAGGTGAGAACGCACCGGAAAGACTTCAGTGGTGGGATCCTCGTTATCGTCCATGGCCTCAATAAGGATATCGACAAATGCTTCAAAAGAAATGCAGTTAGTGCTGATGAGAACTGGTAGTAGCTGCTTTACCCGTGAGTTGGCTGTATTAAGAATTTTTCGCAGCCACGTGGCGATCAAGGCCTCAAACTGTGCTAAGCGGTAGACCCTCAGACGGGCATATAAAGCGCACAATACCTCATCGTTCTCTGCTTGAATCTGGTAGTGACCTTTCTCTAATCGCCGAGCCAGGACATTGAACAATTGTGTCATCGTCTGCTCTTCCATCCGATTACCAGTTGAGAGAACGGTTTCAAATCTTTCTATGAAGCTTGGACCAGCTTGCTGCAACGATTCTGCCATACCATCAGACACAGGGGAGCAGGCAGCTACTGCAAGACTTCTGTCACCTCTCGCCAGGTCTTGTTGAAGTATGGAAAGTGACACAAGATTACTGGAGACAAGCGACCCAAGTGAGACCAACGAGACGATAAAGTGACGAGGCAATTCGCTGTTTGTACGCATGCACATGTATGCTTGGAACAGCCCTGAATGCAGATCTTCAAATGCCCCTAGAGCGGAGAAAGCATCAAGATGGTAACTGACAGTATCCGTTATCGATGCAAGCAACATTTCATCGGCCGAGGAGGTGCACAACGATATGATGTCTGCTAGAACAGACAAGTCGTCAAGGTTTTCGCAAAGTCTTCGTATCAGCCTAAATTCAGCATCGGTAATGAGCAATGTAGGTGGACTTTGACCATTATCTTTGGCGCCTGAGCTTATCTTTGGGGTTGTGAACGACTCGGTCTGGTGTTTTAGAAACAAGGCTAACTCGACTTTCGTGGACCGACTAAGCTCCGCAAAATCACAAACAGAAGTATCAAGTATTGGATCGACCTCAGAGCCCAAGATTCGGGGCAGTTGCATAGCCATATGGCGCTTACAGAAGTCAAGCAAATGAGCTTCGCAACCAGCGGAGAACCCAACCTGAGCAAGCAAGATGTTTCTGAGGTTTCTGACAGATGGCTTGAGACTGGATAATGGAACCATAGTGAGAACTTGAGCAGGGCGGAAACTTAGCGAGCCTTCCGCTTTCATGGAATCTTCGTTGGTATGGGAGAACAAATCGGAGGAATCTGTCTGGAAAGAGTCACACCGCAAAGTTCCACTGGCGGTCAGCCACTGCAGATATCTGCCCAATGCAAAAACCTTGGACCGAACCAACTCCGAGACAAGCAGGCTTAGGCAACGAACGTCACAGAACACCTGGGTATGCTGCAGCGCAAGAAAGTCAGTCACGGCTGAGTTGACGTCGGCCTCTTCTTGACAGATTCGGATAAGCTGGACGGCTAAATATACTCTGTACTGTCCGGTACGGAAACGGGACGAGCACCACTCCAGGACAATTTTGATAAGCACATCGGCGTCCTGGCATGCAGTCTGACAATCCTGCGTGATCTTGCGGATGTCGAAAGGTGAGCTGGCTGTGTCAAGAATATGCAAGACGATTTGACGTGGTGTACGCGGTACCGACGTCGTTGGACCGGAGGCAAAAGAAAGCCTCTCATTCCTATGCACCAATTGCTTCAGAATAATCTTATCAGGCACAACATCCGAATTAAAACAGCTCTCTAGAGCATCTCTGTACTTGCTCCATGTTCGAGGCATGACGAAACATGCTATGTTAGACTGGATCATCCATCGCAAGATGTGCTTCAATTTTCCGACTAGAGGGGTCAATGGGCTCTGGGGATGTCCTGCCACATTAGAAAGCCTCTCGAGAAGGTATTCGGCAAGAGATCTTCCTCTTTTGCGGTGCTTCACCAAGTCTGGTTTATGGAGATTCACCATCATCAGCCAAACCGGCAGGCAGACTGGGCTAGCGGAGGACAAGGACTTTACAACCCAATCCAGATAATGGTCGCGATCCAACAGGCACTCCGAATAGAGCCGAATGACAAGACTCAAAGAATAGTGAGTCCTCGGTCGCCAGTCTGGTTGTCCGCTGTGCTCCATGCTACTTTCCAGGAACTGCTCAATATTAGTTGTCCAATCCCGTAGCCATTTGATCTCTGCTCCGGCGGCAAAGGCCCCACTCGTGCCTTTCCTTTTCAAAGTGCGAATTTCATTCGCACCGACACACTTCGCGAGCCAAAGCGCACGACCAATAGGAACGTTATTCGCCATGCATTGATCAAGAAGAGTTTGACCCCTGATACCTTGTGGAATAGTTCGACTCAACTTCCGAAGAGGGACAGCCGGGTTAGCGAGATCGCTAAGCCACGCCCTTCTCTTTGCTTCAGTCAGAGTAACACGAGGAGGCGGTTTGAAGGCAGAGCCCGGAGACATCTTGCTATAGGCTTCTCGCTTTTCCACAACGGACGCGAAGAGAGCGGACAAAGTTTGAAGCCCAGATCTATGCCTGAAGAGACCATATAAAGATTGTCTTGCTGTATTCGTCTCATATTGTGATACTGGTGTCCTGTCGACAAAGCCATGCTTGACGGTCTGCTCATTCAAAACATCTTCCGGATGATTTCCGAGCCAGGGAGCAAAGTCTGCTCTATCTGCAAGCATTACGTTAGCAAAAACAGTACTCCGATGGTATGCCATGTGCTTACTATCTGCCATGAACGTGGGAGCGTCTCGAGGGGGCTCGGTCTTATAAGGCACACTTTGGACCTGGATATCATCTCTTTTTCTCACTCCCGTATTGTTTAAGCCTCCCTTGTTCACCTTCCTGGCCACCGAGTTGTGCTTCCATGGTCGCTGGGGAAGAGATGGTGGGCTAGAACGACCCCCAACCGGAGATTGGGCATGCGAATCCTGAACTCCTTCTGATCCAACGAAAAACCCATCAATCAGCTCCAGCGGCAGACGCTTGGTATCCCTAGCTCGAGCGAGCCTGTTTGCTGTTGGTTTGCCTATATTTATTTCGTGAGAGGGCGAATTGGATGTATTTGCAGTTGAGAAGGGAGTGTCTCGCTTCTGTCTTTTCGAGACAGAGTCCTCTTCTGCCGGATGTCTGAGAATTTCGCCGTCTATCTTCCCAATAGTAGTTATAGAAGCTTGCCTCTTCAATGGTCTATGGGGCGTGGCAGACGTGGGAAAGGTAGGAGGCCGATGAGTACCGGCCTGGGGGATAGTGGTCATCGCAAAGGCATCTTGGTTCGGACTTGGATTCTTAGTAGAAAGCTGGTATGAGACTCGGCCAGCTCGGTCTTCTGCACTTTGTCAAAGCCGTTCATTAGAGGCTTAGAAAATGGATCGAAACCAGAGGACGTGCCAGAATACAGAGCATTCAGTGATCAGCTCGTCTGTCGTGGGATGGGACTAGGTAGGTACAACCAGTCTAGGTGGCTAGATTGCGTGAGCAGTAAGGCGGAGGGTTCGTCGTCAGGTGAGGAAAGAGTTGTACAACGGTGAACATCGTTGGTAGTACAAAAATCCGAGACCGGTAAAGTTGCGACCAGCAGTCACACAGGAATGGGCACTTGGACGCACAACGGGCAAGCATCCGTGCAGTGCTGAAGATGGTGGCTTGACTACTGCGTTGTTCTCGGTGGGTCTGCTGCTGCTGCGCTGCTCACAATTGGGTCTCGGTTGGACTAGATTGGTCGTCAGATTACCGGGCCGCATTGCCTAGGCTTTGTTCCTTTCCGGGCTCTAAATTGGGGTCTATTTGACCAAGGGCGTCCGCACATCCTGGCGGTATTGGACGGCTTCCGGGCCAGTTCCACCTTCTCAGGCAGAGTTGGGAAGGCCGAAAATCCCGCGCACACAACGTGATCCATTTCCGACCACAGCTGGACCTTGACACCAATCAAATCCACTAACTTGTGAAAGTTTTTTATATTGGTCAACGCCGTATTTCATTGAGGACTCGCCTGATACGCCATGTCGAAAAAGGACATGAGAAGGGCAGACCTTGGTATGCACAATGCCACATCTGGTCCAACTTAGAGTGGATGCTGAGTCTGACTTCTGATAGTGGTCCCGTACGTTGAACCGCAGAAGGACCAGAAGTCTGCCGACATGAGCAGTGAGTGAGAAGTGGAGGCTCTTGGGATGGTGATGGATGCTCAAATCTATTAGGTACATTTACAAGTACTATGCCGATGGCTGCGGTGTGTTCACATCCAACCCGATCATCATACAAGAAGATCACTAATCTATGCCATTGCAGATGTTTACGCGGAACAAGTGAGAGGAAGAAACTGTTCCCTGATACTGTCGAAGAATGCTAAATCAGCTCTTACAGGCTTCTTGGCTGGTAAGAGAGTCTTGAGGTACCGCCATCGACCCCATGGCCTGATCTTTGTGCAGGACATCAGTTGTCGTTGCCCTTTTAGCATGGTTATCAGAAAGCCCAGATCAAAGTGCAAAGAATGCCACTCCAGGCTACCTCTCTGTTGGAATGTCGCGTCAGTCATCTACAATGCCTTTGGTTTGGTGCATAATACTGATGTGATCTGAAGTCGTTGCTGTCATAGTTGTACGGCCCCTGGGATATCACAAAATGATGTCTTCAGATGCTGATCAGAACAATCAGACATATCTCCCCCTCTTCCTCCCACCTACGCCAAACATGCGAGGAGGCACTGGCACTGGCACAGAAGCACCACCTGCTGTGCCACCCTAGTCGTCAATTTACTGATCAATGTAGTATCTATCGTTAGTCCTGAAAATTTACCAAAGGCATTTCGCGGACCCTCTATCTCTTCTCCAGGAAAGCGTGCGTGTCCGTCTTCTCTGGAGAAATTGATCTTTCCGGCGGTTTTTGTTCTAAACTGTGAGTGTTGAACTTGAGAATTGCGCTGCCGTTCGTGAATTGTATCCTTGCCGCCCGAAAATCCGAGGTGTGTTGAACGGGATAAAGTAGATTTCGGAGTACAAAGACAGAACCAGATACCGTGATGTTTGTGCCCAGCGTTGTGCTTCATCAGCCTTCAACTTCAACCAATCACTGAGATCAGATGGTTAAAGGTAGACTCACGGTGGTCATTTTCGCATTGAATCAACATTGAACAAACATTGAACACCAGTCATCCTGTGACTCGGTGTTACTCACATGCTTGTAGTGTCATTCCTGTCCGGGTTAGCGCGACATTATACAGCGCTAAAAGGCGGTTGCCGATGCCAAGACCACAACCCCACCAATTTCACAAGTCGCCCTCAAGTTCCACAGCAAGGCTGCGTCTTCTTTCACTCTCGCCCACAACCTGACAACATCTGCAATCCCCACTCTTCAAGTACTACCACTCAGAGGACCTCTTCCGCACCTAGACACTCTTCTTCACAGTCAAATCAATACCGGACAGACCAAGACAGACGAGTTTATGACGACTATCGAAAACCTCAGAACTATCGGTTGGTCATCCCTTGCTCCGCCTCCTTGCCACCAACCTCATCTCCCGCTCGTTTCTTGAAACCAGTTGGGAGCGATGACAACACACATCGCATGTTCTTCCTTTTTCCATCGACTATTCTTCCAAGTGTCCTTTCGTGGTCGACTTCGTGCTGACGATCTAGGTAGACCCCTTCGCGGAGGCCGACGAAGACACCGGTCAGGTCCAGCAATCTCAGCAATACATCCATATTCGCATTCAGCGTTAGTTCCAGATTCATGATGAGAAGCGAGCATCACTGACCTCGTGAACAGAGCGAAATGGTCGTAAGACCTTGACAACCGTTCAAGGAATACCCAAGAAGTTTGACCAGAAGAAGATCCTCAAGGTCATCAAGAAGAAATTTGGTATGCTTTCCCAGTCTACCGCCGCATATTAGCTGCTGACTAGCTCTTCCAAGCCTGCAATGGCACCATTGTCGACAGCCCGGAGATGGGGGAGGTGATTCAGCTCCAAGGTGATCAACGCAAAGATGTGCAAGAATTCTTGACCTCCGAGGAGGGACTCGGCCTGAAGGTTAATACCATCAAGGTATAACCCTCCATATCCCCAAAGTGGAAGTACATCTCTAATTGGGCAAATCCGCAGGTCCATGGGTTCTAGACGTCCTCGTTGTCTCTGTCCACGCAGGTTAAGCATAGAGGATTGACTGCACAGATTACCGAGTATCGAGTACGGAGCTTTCTGCCTCGCAGTCGCGCACGACGTTCTGTCCTCCTCTTCGTGAACAACCGACATATCGAAACTGCCCAGAGCTGGGCAGGACGTATCAGGTGGCGTGTTGGAAGATACCCTTGAGAGGTACTCTTGTTAGATGTCAGCATTCAATGAACGACCCGTTGCGTTGCAGGTTTGGGCAGCAGGCTTGAGCTCACAACAATTCCTTCATTATCGATTCGCCCTACGCACAGCCGCCGAAGCAAGAAGGGCGAAGCAAACTGTGGAGGATTGGTCTTTCGCTAGCTCTCATAGTGCTCTTCTATAGGACTACTGCAAATATGACCGTATTCCTTCAGGATCCACCTCTAGTGTACTTGTCCTCTCCGTAATTCGCCCTCTTAAGCATGACTACCCAGCCGAGCCTTTATCGTATTGTAACCCGACTGTGATATATGTCCCATTTCAACTTGCCTCCTCATTAACACCTCTCCTATCTTGCCTTATCTTACCGGCCGGTGTGTCTCCTCGGACAGAAAATACCTAGCTATCATTGATGCCGTGATCATCGCAGCTCCACGTTACAGTCCACGATCTAATGAATGAGCCGAACAGATCTTAGATATTGGCTCGAGCAACAGTGTACATTCATCTCGACACTCCACCCCTTCAAATACAGTATGCACGATGCTATTACCCCCTCGTCGGCATCATCGCCTTCAGCCGATCCATAAACGTTATCCTCCCCTGACTCTGCGCCGCAACCGTCCGCGCATCGACCATCGTCTCCATCTCCTGTCTCGTAAGTGGTTTCGTAGTGCCCCACATCTTCCACACAGCCGGCTCATCCTCCTCCTTCTTCACCTGCTGCATGACCAGGTATTCTGTCAGGTCAGCCACTGCTGGCGGATTGCCGTCGCCTTTGTCAAGCGATTGGAGGGAGCGGATGCGCACGATGCATTGTCGCAGGTAGATGTGATTTCCTATGGGCATGGGGACGACGCGGTCGGACATTATTTTGGCTTGCGTGCCTGGGAGGAGAGAGGTTAGGGGCCAGCGGATGAGTGAAGGCCTAAGGACGACGGAGGTGAAGGGGATTCGGACGGAGAAGAGGGTGGAACTGAAGGGAATCCGCAAGGGAGAGGTATAGCGGATGAGTTTCCATGATTGGGGGGGTAGCTCGTTGGCTAAACGGCGTGTATATATGGTCTTGAATTTGGTGGCTAGACCTGAGCAGATCAATTTGGAAAGGATGGGTAAGTCGCCGGAGGCCAGGGAGGTGTAAACCTCCTTGTGCAGTTTGAGTGCAATGGCCGGGCGGATTCGGAGATCGAAAGGCATCCTTTGGCTTGCGGGCCTACTGCGTTGCATGAACCAAAGGAAATATAGCAAGCTTGATAGTCTTCGTTTAGTTGAAGGTCACTGGGAGGGTTGCGGAATACACCTACGATCCGAAGTTCTCAGCTCGAGTCCTTACCCACAACCACTCCAGCTTCAGTCTTATCTTCCATGTACTGCCGAATAACCTAGGCATTTTGCTGTTGGGTGGTCTGACAAAGGTTTGTGGTATGATGCCAATATCATCGGGTATTCTGCTTCCACTCATACCCTTCATCTCTACTCTTCTGCTTTTCTTTTTCTCCAGCTGCCGCTGTAACGAATCTTTTGAGGCGTGAAACTCTTGCATGACTCTCTCGGAAGGTGTAGAGCTGAAATGCCGGGACGACTGAAATCGAGTGAGAAGACATTGACGACAGCGAGTGGTGATGGAAGGAAGTGGCGGCATATGTTTTGCATTCACAGCCATTTTTTACTTGGGGACTTCTTTGATGCTCTTCTCGTACTTAGCAAACGTTGCCGCTCTCATCGAGAGATACCACGGGCGAAAGCCGGTGTCGAAGTATAAACTTAGAGCTCCAAGGACTGAGAAAGATGACCGCCGAGACCTTTCTGGCTGCCGAAGCTTTGCCGAGCTCTCCAATCGTAGTACAGTATGCGACGTATACCATGTCGGTTGGATGCTATAGGCTTGTTCGAGGTCAACTTAGAGTCCTGTTAACCTAGCAAGACTCATTGACTATGTGTAGGGGGCACCCCGAACGAGCGCAACATTATATTCGTTCCACTACAACACGCGCTCTATTTTTCCGATCTACCAGCTGCGCTCTCCCTATCTTGCCCTTACCCCAGCCCTTCCAGCCTTTTCTGATGCACCAGGTTGGATCCGTGCCATCATTTCCTCCTTCTGCATCAGATGCCCTACCCGTTCCAGCAGACCTAATAAGCTCTTCATACTACCACTCCATTCATCCAATACCTCGTCAGGTCCTCTCTTCATTTCGAAGTTCACGATCCTGGCTGGACGATCGATTCGTGCGTAGACCGTCTTTTTGCAGACAAGATCGCTGATGTACTTCTCCGTCTCTTCCTCCGACAAGTCCAGCAGAGCAGTCAATCGTGGGAAGGTGATTCGGGTGTAGTATTTGGCAACAACACGCACGTTATGCTCAATCACACGATTTCTCAATGCAACGTAGCGGCTGTACGCTTTAGCCTCTTCAGAGCTTGGAGCACCAGTCGCAGGTTTCGTTTTGGAAAAGATGTCAGTGGAGCACAAATGTGGTCCGAATTGCTCGTCAACCATGGGCCACCGCATCAACTCATGTACGGTAAAAAGCTTCAACAATGCAGCTTCTTCGGAGACTTGTGATAATCGGCTATCTTGTTGGATTCTATGAAGGAGATCGCTCTGCTCGTTGTCGTATGGTGCGAGAAGTATGAAATAGACGACTCTTTGCAAGACTGCACGTAGCTGTTCAGGATTCTCCTCAACAGACTCCGTGTCGAGAACCTGTCTGTAGTGCTTGCAGACTTCCAAGTATTTGTCTTCCTGTTTAGCAAGGGTAATTTGTTGCTCGTAATACTTCAGCTTCAGATCTGTCACGTCGTCCTCTTTCTCTGTGGGTGGATCATCAGGCGATCGCTTCTTTTCTGCTTCTTCTCGTGCCTTTCGATCAGCCTCTATCTGTTCAGGCGTCTTCTTAGGTTTCCGGGCAAAGAATTTGGTGCCAATCTTTCGACTCAGTATGCCAGCTTGTGTAAAGTCGCCTTTCTCTACACATAGCTCGACTTGTTGTAGGATGAACTCCGTCTTTTCTCTGCGCGCCATGGAACCGAACGTCTCCACTTGCAGCTCACAGAGAATGTCGGCGGCTTCCTTCAGATTACCTTGCGATTTCTTGATGTCGGACAGCATTCGAGTTACTCGGGCTCGCTCGACTTCAACAAATATCTAAAGCTGTTGTCAGTAAGATGTTCAAAGTATCAACAGCCTCGCATGTCCCACCTTTCCTTCTGTAACCGTCCTCAAGGCTTCGATGGTGGAGAGTTTGACGTCGACATTGGGCGCATCGTCCAGGAAGCCCATGACCACCTGCACCATCTTTGTGATAGCCTGCTTGAGCTGGCCATGTTTCTTTGACAGCAGCAGCACTTGCTCGTTCAACAGACTCCAATCACCCGCTTCCTTGCATATTGTGACGATAGCGACCAATGATCTCGAAGTGGAAGCTAGATCTGAAGACTATAGCGGCAGTCAGCGAGAGGTTATCTTAGTGTACCGCAAGTTCCGCTTACTTGTCTGGCCTGCTTTTCAAGAACAAGGATCTTGTCGATGGCTTTTTGTATATCGTGCTAGAAAGTGTCAACGCTGTTGCATCTTTCGGCCTGATCTAAGCAACCTTTGCAAGCTCTTGCGCCTCCGGAATGACCTTGTCTGCCTCTTTCGTGTAATCTCGCTCCGGCTTAAAGAGCGCACCATCTGACATAATGTAAAGTTACGCTATGAAGGACGTTTAATGGGTGAGGGAGCTGAGATCGAATTGGAATTAGAGAAGATACAAGGACTAGTGGAAGAATGATGATTCTGCGTAGCTTCAAACCGTTGACGGATTCATGAAATGTTTAGGCATGTACCTGACGCGGGTAGCATTCACTACTTACATAATTTCATGTAGCGCCAAATAGAACCTCTCCAGCATCCAAGACCGGAGCTTTGGGGGCGAATTAAGAGTTTCACGGGTCAACTTCTGTGAACAACCAACACTTATACATACTGTAACATCTGAACTACACGCAGCAATTCCTCGGGTAGATGGTCTCCTTGTCGACAACCAGTCTTCTCTATTTGTCTCTATCGTGCTGATTTCATCATGCTGTCGGATTATGCCTGACCATTTTCCGTCACTTCTGGCTTTTCGATATTGCCCCTAACTCCAGTTTTTGCGCCTAGCTCTCTCGCTGTTATGGAAATGCTCAAATCTGCTCCGACATTGACGGTAACTTCCACCTTTAATCCTTTCTTAACTCTCGCTGTGATCTCCCCGAGCGGCTTGATCGCTTCCCAGATCCTTTCTCGGACGTCTTCCTCATCTTCCACATCTGAGTCTTCGTCCGAGTCTTCCTCTCCATTCGTCTCGGCTTTGGATCTCGGCTCTGGTTTGGTGGTTTTAATCTTACGCTGTCCTTCACACACCCGCAGTACCATCTCGCCATCCGATAATGATTGCATCACCTTTGTCTTACGAACTGGTACAGCTGAATCTTGAGGGATCACAACTTCGAACGAGGACGTCCCTTCCTGGGCTTCTATTTCGATCCCTATGGCATTGGGAATGTGAGGTGTGACGGTCACCATGGGATGTGTTGATTGCTCTATGTCTTCCTTTTCAAACTCTTGGATGAGTGAAGCTTGAATGGCAGCGCCGGTAGCTGCCAAAAATGCTGGATTGATGGCGGTTGGTGATGTCGAGGGAGCGAAGACAGTGGTGTGTTCGCTAAAGAGCGATTTCAAATTCTGTGCGATCTTCGGCGTGTGCGCCGTACCACCAGACAAGATGACCTGTCAAAGTGTAAGCCGCTGCAAGGCCGAGGTTTTGGTCAAGTGTACCTCTTCAATGTCTAGCAAATCCAGGTCTGCCTTTTTAACAGCCTCTTCTATCAGTCGTGTAAAGCTTTGAAATACCTTGCCTGCTAAAAGCTCATATCTTGTCCTGTTGACTGTCGATCTGAAATCGAATCCTTCTGCCAAACTTTCTACACTCAACGTCGCACTGGCACTTAAGCTCAATGCCTTCTTCACCGCTTCAGCTTCAAGCTTCAACTTCGCCAGGCTTCTCTCGTTGTCTCTGGGATCGATCTTGTGCTTCTTGATGAACTCCTTTGCAAAATGATCAACCAATACTTGGTCCAGTTTTACTCCTCCGAGTTCGTAATCGTGGGCTGCGGCAAGAATACTGTACATCCCACCTCTTGAGGCAACTACAGCAATATCTGATCTGTTGCCACCAAGATCTGCCACAACGACAAGTTTGTCTTTATGGTCTCCCCGCGAATCGTATGCCATCAGAGCCGCGATGGGCTCAGATATGAACTGCAGCACATTCAATTGCGCGTTTTCGGCTGCGTCCGCCAGAGCTTCTGTCTGCGCCTCCGAAGCATCCGTGGGAATGGCGATGACGGCAGACGTCACGGCCTTGCCGGAGAAGTCTGAAGCTGATTGCTTCAATCTTCGAAGATGTCGTGTGGTAATCTCAGAAACAGATACAGTGTTTGGTGTTTCGCTCTCGGTGTCCTGTATTGAGAAGGCAACCGTTGATGCATTCTCCTGCGGGTGTGCTGAGCCGTGACAGGGTGTAGGGTCTATAGACTTAAAGCTATCGAACGTCAGTAAGCGCAGAGGGTTTGGAATGGCATTTCCGTACTCCTTGCCCAGGTAGTCTCTAAAGTATCCTATAGTATTCCTGCTATTTCGCACTAGCTGTGCTTTTGCTTGCGTTCCGTGGAACTCTTCTCCGTCAACGTATGAGAGAAACGAAGGGATAAGACGATCTAATGATTAGGATCAGTATAATGCGAGCCTATTGATCCGAGGGTAGTGGATTCACCTCCTTCCTCATTCGCAATGACTTCTGCTTTGCCATCCTGTCACAAGGCCGTATTAGCATAGAGCACAACTGACCATATGCCATGAAGACAATCGTACGGCTGATAAATGAGCTATTGAGCTATTGGAATTGCCAAAGGAGATCCCGATAGCATACTGTTCGACACCTTCGGTGGATGAGGCTCCATCCACTTCTTCGCTCATAGCTGTGAATAGCGCACAAGGTTTCCAGTCAGTCGAAGTAGATCCTACCGCATTACCAATGAGCAATCTTATTGCAATGTTTTGTGGTTGCTCAAATCAAGTCCAAAAATATTTTAGTCGCGAGGTTTTGGGGGAAGGTGGACCGGAATATTTTGGAGATGGTCAGTAGAACTTGACATACATAACGTCTACGTAACTGACTACACTGTCTACATATGTTGGAGCCGTTCAATCTTTCAAAGCCTCCGTAATACCATGGCCTCCAATCTAGTCTTTCCAGGAGATACCATATCAGGTGTCAACATACCTGCATCTAAAAGCCTCCATCCTGCTTCCGGTCTCTACCGAGAAAGCTCCTGTGCTCCAATTCTCGCTACCTTAGCTGGAAAGCTAGAACAGAATCCGAAGAAGAAGACTGCACATGTTACCGCTCCCAATGCACGATACATACCTCGTGTAGGTGACCTAGTCATTGCTTCAGTGCAGCGCTCGTCTATGGACTTTTTCCACCTCTCTATCTGCCCGCACATACCACAAGCGATTCTTCCTCAATTGGCTTTCGAGGGTGCCAGCAAAAAGACACGACCTCAACTAAAACCCAACGATCTTGTATACGCCAAAGTACTATCTGCGAGTAAGAACATGGAGGTGGAGCTGACCTGTGTCGATCCGTCAACTGGGAAATCAGAACCCGAAGGACTCGGACCTATTACTGGAGGAATGGTGTTCGATATCAGCACTGGTTTGGCTGCACGGCTTCTCAGTTCGCAAAGTGTTGCTGTCTTGGAAGAGCTGGGCGAAAAGCTAGCAGGCGGCTTTGAGGTTGCAGTTGGCAAAAACGGAAAGGTTTGGGTGGACTGTCCTGAGTCTGGAATCAGAGGCATTTATGCAGTGGGAAGATGTTTGCAAGAAACAGATTGCGACAACCTTCAAAAAAGCGAACAGCAGAAGCTGGTGAAGAGGGTGGTCAAGGAGACGGGTCTTGGTTGAGCAATGTCCCTATAGTCGGTGATGCTAGAAAGAAGAGAGCAGGGAACAGAACGGTCTTGCCGCAACGGGTAAATTGGTCGGAGGGCGCTGTTGAATATTGCGGGGAGGAAGCATCTACCCATCGCTTGTCATGGCCCATAAGACTCATTCGACCAACTCAGCTCAGTGGTGGACAAATGGCATGTATAGGCAGGTCTGCACCGGAAACATCTTCCTTTCCCCTTTGACCAATCTACCTGTCTCGGTCCTACAAATGCCCTTCCAACCAACGCACCGGGCCAAATTCAAGATGTCGCACTTTTGTCGAGGTCAACCTTGCGGCTACATACGACTGCTCGCAGTATCTTTGCGCAGTCTGTGAATCCCGAGGTTCTGCCGTCAATGCCATGGTGATCTTAGAGTTGGGGATCGTCAGCAGCACGGGAAAAGCAAAGGGCACGGCGTAGGACTTGGCAATAACATGCATGGAGAGGACTTGGTCAGTGTGTTGTCCTGATGTCTAACGATTGCCATAACCAGCCCGACCTGACTTCCCAACCAGGCAATGACCAACAAGGAGCAAAAATGTAGCCTTAGCCCCTTATCTCCATCACAACACGCGCTGCACCACCAGAGTAACCGACAATGGTCTACTCACTTCCATGTTTACAATGCCAGTGGACTTGCTGCAAGCCGGAGATGCTGGTTCCGAGTGTCCCGCAGCCTCCTGGCTGGAACTACGCTGCGGTGATAAGTGTTCTGTGAGACAGCGGATACTCTTGAAGCTGATGGTTCAAGTTTGCAGGGGATCCCTCAAAGGTATCAAGGCCATGCAGCCCGGGGATTTTGTTTAGATGCGTCATCAGCGCCAATGAAGCCAGTACGCCTGATACATCGCCACGGCAGCGGAAATCTGTCTTTTCATGCTGAGCTTTGCGTTACACAGGTAGCGATCTTCACAGGTGAGGTACCCTTCTGTAAACCTCCAAATTGGCATGCGCACCATTTCTTGGTAATGATCTTCACCTGTGTGACTTGCTCATATCGCTATGAAAGGGCTGTGTTGTCGATTGTCTGCTATATTTAGTACATGGGCAGCCAGGCAGACTAGGTGGCTCCGTAGTCCAGCAGAGAAGGCTGTGTGCGCCTCACAAGTTGCCCCTATGCAAGGAATATCCGAATATGTGGACTAATCCTGGATATCATGGGTATATGAAGGCTCCGCTTGAATTTTCTCAGTATGGCCTGACAACCGGCAAGGACGTGGACTGCGGAAGGTTGTTGAGCACAATGACTCTGCTCTAGGGATTATTGAAGTCCGTTACCCGTATCGTTGGTAGCAGAGAAAAGGCAGTCTATCAACCTCATGCATACTCAGCCGAAGAACGTCCGGAATGATCAGACTAAAAATCACGTTGTTTTCCGATAATCACAGGCCTCATTGACTGACTGTGAGCAGGCTCTTGGAACATTGTACGACTCAGACCTCTGGGTTTTTGAAGAGTATCTAGCTGGCGCAAGGGAATTGTACCAGAACCATGCAGAGAAGCAACCTTGCTTGCCTCGATCTGAGCTCAACTATTCATCATGATATCATTGGGAGAAGCTGCCTTCTCCACACAGAACCTTGAACGGTTTAAGCCAGGCACAACCAACAACTTGCATTGTATCACGAAAGTTGTTCCAAGTTACGCTAAGCTCCAGGCCCCAAATCTCAAACACCGAGAGCCTGGCAGGTGAGAAATTGAATCCGGGGTGAGGTCTCGAGGCATCCAATGGCATCCTGTTATCTTATACCCAAGTCAGATTCGGAGCCTTTTCTCATGCGTGGCTTCGCCCTATCTGCTGTGCAACCATGCAAAGATCTAAATGGACTCAAATCTTTCTTCCTTGCTTTGTATATGGTGAGGATTTGTAAGAATCATCTACGCTAAAGGTATTTCGAATTCAGAGCGTTCATAATCTCTCCTCGCATTTCTGGAACATTTGCACCAAGGGAGAATGGAGCCTAGAGGCAAGGAGAATTCCGTAGGGAATCCACGACTTAAGGAACCCAAGGGCCTTTGGAGAAGCTCTGGTACCACTAAGAAGGGCCCGTACGAGCAATCTGCTTTTATTCATCGCCCTAATCGACCGGAAAGTTGTAATCGGCATGAAATCCTTGAAGCCTGGTGGCTCGAAGTCTCGTGCTGCGTGTTTTTTATTAGCGCGTTGGTTGCGATTGTGGTAACGATTTACCCTTACGAAGGTCGTCCACTGCCGCGGTGGCCATATCGTTTGTCCATCAATTCGCTGATATCAATCTATGTTGTCATTTTGAGAGCAGCAATGCTGCTAGTGGCCACTGAAGGACTTAGCCAATTGAAATGGCGATGGTTTGACCAAAATCGTCCTCTTAAAGACCTTCTGAGGTACGATGATGCAAGTCGCGGTCCATGGGGAGCTCTTATGTTGTTAGGTTGGCTCCGTGGACGTCAGTGGACCTCATCATGTGGAGCACTCATCACGGTAGCGGCACTTATCGTGGATCCATTTGCACAACAGGTTCTGTCGACATACGATTGCAGAGTACCAGCCGAGGCTTTCGTAGCAACAATTCCCCGGACGAGCTTCTACATTGAAAATATTCCTATCTTCGGAATGGATAGAGGTCCTATCACACTCGAACTACAGAATAGCATTAACGGAGGCATCTTCAATCCGGGAAGAAATGTTGCCTTTGACTGTCCGACCGGCAATTGTACATTTCCGAATAACTATCAGACTGTTGGCTTCTGCGGTAGCTGCATCGATATCACGAATCAGCTCTATGTCAAGCCGAAACTCAATGAGCCGAATAAATCAGCTTGGACCATCAATATTCTTACAGCTTCCAACCTATCCGCGGTAATCAACAAGCCTCCTGGTGCTGGAGAAGGCTCAGATTATCTGCTCATGAAGTCGGGTGGTGGGAAGACGGATATCATCGTTGGGTACTTACCAACCAACAGGAGTGCACCATGTGCAGGAAGCTGCTCATAACTGATCGACGGAAATGTCGAAAATTGTAATGCTAGTAGGAATCATTTACGATGGGGTTGTGAGAGCCCTGCGGAGCCCGGTACTGGGATAGGAGCCGCACAGTGTTCCTTGTTCCCCTGTGTAAGAACCTACACCGCAGTAGTTAATGGCGGACGCTTGACAGAAAGGCTGGTCTCAGCGTCCACCAAGTTGCCTACTGGTAGCATGGTCAATGTCGAATGCCTCAGTACACGAGATCGTAAGGCATTCTTCGATGCTGGTTACGATCTTATAGGCATGTCATGGATTCCTTATAATCGTGATCCTATTGGGGTCTTATACAAGTGGATATAGGTGAAAAATACACGGAACTTGACGCTCCGAGCGCATGCGTTTATGGGTATTTAGAACCAGCTCGAACCGGCATAAAGTCCTTCCTGGCCACCTTTTTAGATGGAACGATAAAACCTGGGCCCTACAGAGATATACTCGAGGGACCGGCGCAACTCCAGGCCATCTACAACAATGGGGATATCACCTTTGACCGTCTCAACGAAACGTGGAGAAACCTGTCCGACTCTATTACAACATACATGAGACAGCACGGCATGGTAAACTACAGTGCTCCAGCTACTGGTCAAGCTTTTCGCGACCAAACGTGCGTCCACATCCGTTGGCCATTTTTGGCTTACCCTGTCTTTCTAGTCTTGTTTGCCATCTTCTATTTTATCTGCATGATCTTCGAGACACGTCGTATAGACACGAGCAGGCGCGATTGGAAATCGTCGCCATTGCCATTGCTATTTCATGGGCTTGACAGGGAAGCATTGCAGACAGTGCAATCGGCGGAATCTGTCAGAGCGGGACAAATGGAGGAAGTCGCAAAGAGGATGTCTGTCCGTCTTAGCCAGACTGAGGGTGGATGGCAGTTTGTGGGGACGCAGGATGCTTCATTGGAAGAATGAGTACATGAGTAATCACGTCCAGCTTAATTGACTCATGGTAGCACGTCGAAAGCAACTTAGCCAACGCCTATCAATCCAACTATACATTACTATCTTTAAGCAGACGACTTCCCAATGGCACCAGGACGAAGGACAACCGCAAACAGAACGTCTTTACTCAGTAGAGAAACAGCCCAATCTCAAAGCCCTCCCAAGCACTATACAGACCGATTCATGACCATTTTCACATCATTTCTCTACCACTTTCTTGCATAGCGCGCTTCCCACAGTCCACAAGGCGACGTATGGTCAAGCCACATGCCCAGAACATGCAGGGCATCCACTATACATTGGAACCACTCAAATCAATCTGCTCTGCTCCTGTTGTCGGAGTGAGCTTGTCCGTTTTCCCATCCAGGATAAGCTCCCGTTTCCATACCGTTCAGTCTACGCAATATACATACCACCAAGCAACAGGTCATTGCTGAAGAAATGGTCGCTTCCCAATTTTTCAAGTCGCGCCTGCAGAAGCCTCATCTTATGCTTCGATCCTTTGATCCGTGAAGGTGCATTTCTGCCACAACCCTCGGGTCTATAGGTGGACATTGTAGTGATTTATATGCTCGTTTATTCTCCATGATAAAGTCCATAAGAATACTGATACGAAATTGGACGGGCAAGCCGAGACAAAGATCCCTGGAGCAAAGCTCCCACTTGCTCGCGATCGAAATAGGTAATGCTTGTACTTGCGTAGCAGGAAAGGGGGTGGTAGTGGGTAGTAAAAAGGGGGGCACAAGCGCTGGTGATTGGACAGAGCGGTCTAGAGCGTTTCGTCGGGTCTGATTTTGCAACGACAGGGTACAGCATGAAGTACGAAGGAGGACGAAGGTTATACAAAGGTGGTGATAGTGAGTGCATGGGAAGGAGATTCTTAAAGTCTCTCTCTGGTCAGTTTAGACGCCGTAACAGATAAGATGGCGGCGCAAATGCAATGTGTGGCAGAGGAGAAAAAGGGACTGTGAACATTAAAGTTCTGAGTGAGACTGTAGAATTCAGTATGACCCTAAACACAGAGTCGACAAAGATCAAAGTTGTCCGAAGCCCGCAAGATGGACGTAAATAGGAAGAGTCTTCGATGGGGACCGGGAAGCCGCTGATGGATGTAAAGTAGACGCTACCAGGACATCATATAGTCTGATTCAGTGACCTTTGGGGGGTTGTTGATGGCCTTGAAAGATGTTTCTGAAGTTCTGGTAGGCTGAAGGCAGCATCGACGATAGCCGCAACTATTGGGACATGGGTATGATAGAAGTAATAAAACGGCTGGGAGATGCTTTAAGATCCGCCTCGTTGGCTGTACGGCATCGGGTACGCGTCCTCGTAGCCGAAAGAAGTAGATGTCACTGGCGGATTGTGGTGGGAGAAGAGAGACCTTGGATAGACTTGATTGGGTACCTAGCATACACCTCACTCTTTCACCACCACTGTCATCACATCTTCCTCCCACCATCTATGCAAGGTCCAAGGTCTCCTCAATAGCAACATCTGCCCTCCTCACATCCTCTAGAATAAAGGTAAAGTATGTTCATGCAGACATCACCATCTCTCCTTTCAAGTCCATGCAAAGACTTTTTCTTCCATCTTCGAACCCAACTATCGATGTGGGTTTTGGTATTGATGGACCTCTGTGGAAATCCCACCACCACGCAAAATCCGAAGAGCAAAACGCGCAAAACATGCTCGATATCCGGAACTCCGCTTCGGGATCCCATATCCCATGTGGTATTGAAGTTCCATCTTCTATCTTGCAAGAAACGTACAGGCAGGGTCGAGTCCTACTTTCTCCTGAATGAGCATCCTTCTGTGAGTCTTGCTTTTCCTCCTGTAGGTTGACATAGCACCGTTGAGCAACCAGCGCAGATGACGACTGTTTGGGCGTGCGAGAAAACGGTGGTGATCACGAAGCAACCGGGGCATTTGACATCCATAAAGAATGATCGAGGGGCGGGCACGAGGGTCTATTATTCGTGTTAGACATGAAGCGACGGTATGCCGAGCTGGTGTGGTACCTTGAGCTTGTGTTTGCGGGCCTCGGCCTGGGGCGTTGGATTGAGGAGATCAACGGCAAGAACCTATAGGGCGAGCAATCAGCGTTTTGAGGATGATCAGGCAGTGGTAGTGATGCTGCTGTTGGTCGCGTGCTGTAACCGGGGAAGACTTCGCTCGATGCAGGCCCGGCAGAGGCTGGTAAGATGGATACGACTCACCATTTTGACGATTGAGAAGCTTCGGTATGCTTTTAGGATGAGCTGTAGCTTTGCTGGGATGAAGAGCGTGCTTGTAGGATGCCGTTGATGCCGAAGATGTGTAGAATTAATAGGTCTATGAACAGTCGAGGCAAAACCTGGAGCGGGACCAGAAGTGGGTTAGCGCGTCATGGTTACGGTACCTAGGGCTTAGGGCTACCAGATCGTGGAAATCTTGGCAAAAGGATCATAGTCCTCCTCTTTGAAACCAGAATGACTCAGACTTCGTGTTGCGTTCCTTGCATCGCTACGACACAGCTGCTTGTATGAGAGAGTCTAGGTGATAAGAAAGTACATTAAGGGTACCTGAGGCCAAAGTTGCCAACCATTGTGAGCTATATCGCAGAGTCATTCTGATAATTGTCATGATTGTACTCATCCTAAGCCAACAAACCGACGGTGCAAGCCCCTGTTTTAGACACCGGAGGCATCTGCCTTTCTACTTCTGATGACTCCAAGTCTACCAAACCAGCACATCACCTCTCTACAGCCACCGGGACCGATTCCCACCTAAGATATCAGCCAGACCGCCTGTCACTTCCTGATTCATGCATGAACTTCACGATCGACAGATCTCAGTGTCCAAGATCATTGCAAAAGCTTCAAGTCTTGACTTAGACGTCACACAATTCCACATAAAAGGCCGTTCGTGCCTGATCAGCATGCTTATAAACCTTCCGTAGTCCCATATAGCGGCGCATATCGGCGGATCCACATGGTCGCCCTATTGCCCAATCTGCTTGGGTTTCCTCGATGAGGCTACCGCCATGCGGGATTTGCTTTTGATTCAGATGTTCTCTTTTGAAATGGTCATTGAACTCACGTGGCCTTTCTCCAAAAACAGTAGAGCGCCAAGGGGGGACGCCTGGATACTTCAAAAGTAGAATATGCATAGGGATCCGGACTGCTCCATTTAGTCGATTTGGTGTAGTCAACTCTCGCACAATATTCCATGTGAGTTTCGCGTAAGGCCAGTTGATCAGATGTCGCATAATCTGCCTGTGGTTGTAGATCGAGTGCTCTACGTGATGTCGACCTTAAGAATGCAGACCCCAGAAAACCCTGCAGCCTTGACACATTATTCCCCCACCAGAAACGATCCCGCCAGAATTCGTCTTCATCATGGAGCATTTGTTGTCGAACGTTGCTGACTAATCAGGAGAATGCTCCTTAGAGCTGCTCAGGCCGACAGAAAAGGCAGAATAGTACGCAGAAAGATCGGATGGATGCGTCAGCGCCGTGGCATAGGCCTCTCGGCGTTTGGCGCCTCTCGTACGACTTGATAGAATATTCTGTGCGTCAAAATCAGCAGAAATTTCGCCTGCGCGAGTCGCCTGCGAGTCAGTTGCTTGTACGCTAGTTTCGGTCATGCACTCTTCAAAGTTTCGTTCAGGCGTTGTTTCTGGCGTCAGATAGTGTTGGAGTTCCTCCTCCTCTTGCTCAGTATCATCAACGCTGTCTGTGACTTTAATAGTATCTTCTTCTTCATCTCCAAGAGCGTCAGGAAGCTGAGGAGGCTCAGGGTCATCAATATCATCATTAACCAGAGTTCTTGAAGCTGTATAGCTCGGTTCTGGCATCTCAATAACCTCAATGATATCCTCAATTTCTGTGGTTAAGAGATGGCCAGAATCCAGCTCCTTTGGATCATAAAACAGGCCTTTATTAAACGTGACGTCCCTTGTTCGTATGACTCTGCCTCGGCTTGGTATCCATATCCTATAGATATTCGTAGAATCATACCCTACCAAGTACCCTATCAGGGCCCTCGGTTCAAGCTTATGAGAGTGTGAGATGTTCTTCTGAAGAGGATAGGCTCTGCAGCCGTACGGGTAAAGATGAGATAGCTGCGGACGCTTCTTCAGAATAGCTTCCAAAGGCGTCTTCTACCTAAGGCCTCTCTTTGGCGTACGATTGTTGAGATAGCCTGCTGTTTTGAACGCTTCTGGCCACAGCTCATCTGGCAATTTTGCTCTTATTCGCAGAGCGCGAGCACGCAGAATCAGTACCCCCCTAGCTCTCTCTGTGTTACCGTTCTGCGCAGCGGTATAGGGAGCAGAGCGCTCTGTGGTAATTCCGTACTTCTTTGTGACCTCAGCATAGGCTTTTCCGAGCGTACGCTCTCCGTCAGTTCGTAGATGACCTCTACAGCATGATTCTTTTTCGAATGGGTATAGACGAAGTCCATATTCGTTGTAAAGC